TTAATTTAATAGATGTTTGATAAAGAAACAAGAGAAAGTGAAATCTAAGCTAGGTCATTTGCTGCTCATTTATTCTTTAAAGGAATAGGTGGCAGGTGAGACAAGTGACTGAGATAAAGGCTGCATTGCTGTGTGAATGAGTTAGATGAACTGTGGTGGTGGTAGTTTGCAGTACTCTAATAGTAGCTAGCTGTGTAGATCAGACTCAGGGCTCCTCCTGTCTCTGCTTCCCCAGTGCTGGGATTACAAGTGTGTGCCACCACACCTCATTTCAGTGGTTAGCACAGTGCACCCAGGGTTCTTGGGGCTGGCACAGCATGTGGTACTGGGGATCGAACCTGGGTCCTTGAGCTTGCCAGGCAGGCATGTAGACTGCTGAGCCATCTTCCCAACCCAACTCTTCCACAGTTTTTTTTTTTTTTTTTTTTTTATCAGTGTTGGAGAAAAATTACCTACTACCAAAAAAGAGATTGACTAGTTACAACTGACATCTACTGGTGTTTAATAGATGTTGCATGGAAAACAAAGAGGCAACTAATAAATAAAAATATTCTGCCAGTTACCTTGGATGTAGTAGTAATGAAAACTTCATGCTATCATGTTATTAAATTATGTATGCCTATTAGCTGTTCATTTTCTGTAATGGAGTTGTCTAGGACTATAACAACATTTGGATAGATTGAGAAATTACAAGCATTTCCTTCTTTTTACCCTACTTCAAAGACAATAAAGTATTTTTGAAAGTACAAAAGCTATTTGCATAGCTATAGGAGACATCTGCAGTACCTCTGGGAAAAACATTGGATTTAGTATCAGATTTAGAGAGAAAGAGAGAGACAAACTTAATTCTTGCACTTCAGTTGCACTTACTTGACATCTAGCAAGTCTTTCAACTTCTTTATACTTTAGATTATTCAAACATAAAAATTAAAAATAAAAGTAAAATATCTCTGTGAAAGTGTTTTGGAAACTTTGATGTCCTATGTATATAGGTTTTCTATTAAAAGTCAAAAATAGCAGAAGTTCATTATAGGAAAATAGAAATTTGTCATTTTCAAAACATTTGCTCACTTAAGATTAGGGTATTTATGTTTGACATTGGATTGAGAAGTTTTTTTTCAGTATATTCTTTTCTTTTCTTTAGATAGAACTAGTCATTTTATATTGCAGCAGGCCAAATATTTGTTTGAATAGTTAGCTCTTTGATCCATTTTTATTTTAATTAGTATTCGGTGAGAGATTTTTGTTTAGATTCAATCTTCTGTATGTAGATAGAAAGTTTTCCCAGCACCATTTGCTAAAGAGACTATCTTTCCTCCAGTGTGTGTTTTCATCTCTTTTATCAAAAACCAGGTGACTCAATATACCTGGGGTTGTTTCTGCCTCCTCTGTCTGTTTCACTGATCCACATGTTTGGTTCTGTGCCAGAGCTGTACTGTTTTTATCACTGTAGCTTTCAATATGGGATTGTGATACCCTGCTTTGCACTTGTGATCCAGTATTGCTTTCGCTATTCTGGGCCTCTTTTGTTTGGTGAATTTTAGGATTATTGTTTCTAGATCTATGAGGCATACTTTTGTTATGTGGATTGGCATTAAATTAAATCCATATATAATTTTTGAAAGTATGGCTGTTTTAACAATATTGCTTCTGCCTATCCAGGATCAGAGAATGTCTCCATTTATTGATATTCTCTTCAATCTCCTTTTTCAGGGAACTCTTGTGTTCATTATAGAGGTGTTTCACTTCCTTGGTTAAATCAATTGCTAAGTGTTTAATTTTTCTTTCTTAAGAGCACAATATTTATTGGGGAAAGAATTCTTCTGTCCAAGAGGGGGACAGAAGGAGGCCCCAGGCGGGTTGTCCCAAGGAAGCTGTCTCTTCCAGGAACTTTTATAGTGCTTCATGTGTCACTTTATCAGGCAAATTCAGATTGGTTCTAACATACTCTTACTACCCAAGATCCAATAGATTATGTGGGATTAAGGGGCCTTTTATGAAGAGCGTGGCCACCCGTTGGGATAATTCACTTCATTTGCCAGTGCCCCCTGTCCCCAGATGTCACCCTTAGCTCTCCAAGCCTGGGCAGGTACGGGTCGGTGTGAGTGAAGAAGGGCAGAGTGTAGAGGAACTGGAGAGTCCCTGTAGCTCAGGTTGCACTAGCAGCACTTCTCCTTAGCAAATTTTGGCAGTGTCCTGGTCTTGTTGAGTGTCTATCCTTCCATTTCTCCAGTTCCGGGTGTGGGCTATGAGCACTGTCTTTGGATCTATTCACTAAGGGTAGAGCTTTGGTTCTATATTGGAAGTGCCACAGTAAGAAGTTACTGCACAGTGACTCTCTCCTTTCCAGTTATGGTGTAAAAAGAGGCATTACAGTAAACTCTATCAAACAAGCTCTCCTTCCTTTGCTTGATAGAAATAATCCATTTTTAAAAGGGTATTTTTACTTTCAGTTCTGTCTTAGTTATTTTTCTTACAGCTGAGACAAAATACCTGATACTCAAAGTTAGAGGAGGAAAAGTTTAATTAGCTCACAATTTGTAGCGGTTTCAGTCTGTAATTGGCTGGCTCTGAGGCAGGGTGGCATGGCAGATAGGCATGGCAGAAGAGGTACAATGCATGGTGCACAGAAAGAAGCAAAGCAAGCAAAAGAGCTTAGCTGTGTTTTTCTGCCCCTTTTATAGTCTCTCTAGGGTGCTGGGATTAGGGTTTGTGCCTAACCAATCAGTGGGCTGATTAAGTAATCATCCATCCTTCATCCTAGCGCCCGTAATTCTAACATCGCACCATGAATCAGTCACAAACGCTAGATCCAACCACGTAGGGAAGAGCCCACGTGTGATCTCATGAAGCTTAGGGAGACATCTAAGCACAAACCATAACAATATCTTACTAAAATTACGAATCCCCAAAGTGCATTTACATTCCCAAATGAAACTCTCATTACTGTTTGTCTTCCCTTGGCTATCTAATTTCAAGAGATAAATATTTGAGGGTGAGAAAATAGTTTCTTCCCTGATCTCATCCTATAGTCCCTTATCTCATTAGTGTGGAAAGAGTTCTAGCCGAGGAGTGATGATTTGTTTCAGGATTCCACAGCTTCTTCAAGGAAGAACTGGAGCTAGAACACAGTACAGTTCTCTTTTGTCACTCTTTATCTCCATGCCGCGTTGCTTTATTTGATGAGTCCAGGTTTAATATTACTTTAAGTAATATTAGAGACTTACTCAATTTTGTGTTTTATTCATGTATTGTAGATAGGAAAGTTAAAAAATAAAGCTCATGAAGCAGAAACATAAAAATTTGAGTTATTAGTAAAAGGCAATTTGTTATAAAGCTTCTGAAATTTTTCCCTTTAGTTCATATTTAGAAAAATCTTTGCTTTTGTTACATGAAAAAATATGTTAAAGGAAATATGTGATTAATTTCACCTTCATTAACTTTTGCAGCAGCAAGATTAAGAAAATTGTGCATGTAATTGTATCATCAGTTGTATTCAGGTATGTGAGGGCCTAGGAAAGGAAGCAATTAAATATCTGTGACATTTAATATCGGTTTTTAATGTAAAGGAATTATTACAAGGCATGGGTGGAGAGATAGCTCAGCAGTCTAAGTTCCTGCCTGGCAAGCACAAGGGGCCGGGTTCAAGTCCCAGAACTGCATGCCGTGCTGACCCTGAAACCAGGTGTGGTGGCACGCACCTGTAATCCCAGCACTGAGGAGACTGAGACAGGAGGATCACTATGAATCTGAGCTGTGTAGTGAGACCCTGTATCAAGTAAATAAATAAATAATATTTTATAATTTTTTAAAGGAATTATTACAAAGCAAACCAGAAAAATGAAAAAGCCTTCCATATAAACATTGTGCTAAATAATCTTTGTACTTATATTAAAAATAGTCAATTTGTCTTTAAATTTTAGTTTAAGATGAACATTAAGATTTGCAAAGGAATGTTATTTGCCTAAGTAGTAGCGTGTTAGTATAATTTTTCTATCTGTAAAAGTAAAAATAATGAAGCATACATTTTAAGATTCTATAATTATAGGTAAAATATTTTATTAAATGGCTTACATATCTAGTTATTCCTTAATTTGGAAGCTTTTTACTTAGTCTTCTGCTCTACCTTAAGCAAGATTTTTATATTATGACTCAGATTTACACAATGAAATTTCTTCCTTTTAAATTATGATATTGTATTTTGAGTTGCAATTGTAAAAAAAATACTTTGATATCTACTGAGCTTATCTTTATAGATTATGCAAACAATGTAGTCAGTTTATGGGGAATGTCCTGAGAATATCATAGAGAAAGTCTTAGGTGGCCCCTACCATGTCAACCGTACAAATATTTACAGAATTGAATTCTTTCTGTTCTTCCCATCATGATACCAGACGTGCCTACGAATGTTCTTGTTGAAAAACTCACTGAAAAAAAAAGTCTCCTTGGTCAAAATGACCTTACGAGAGCTTATGTCACTTATGCCTTCACTTGGCTTTTGTCACTAAATTCTCAAAAATTATTCATATTATTTATGAAGATGTATTATGAGAAAATGGTAGAAACTCCTTATAAAATTCTCAAAATTTAGAGTTCACACATAGAGGCTAGTTATTTTAACTTACACTTCTATCTTGGAGTTAATCTGATGTACCTTCTATAGGAGTGCATGACAACATACTTTACGGGGAATTTTACTCACTAGTAACTAACTGCTTTTATCAGGGGAAAACTAAGTAATTTTTTGAGATTTTTAAGGCAATGCAATTCTTTCCATCACTGGACAGTTTCATGCCAAATAATTTTGCTATATGATTATTTTCCTTAACATTATTTAACTACGGGGGCAAACGCCCATTGTCTTTATTATCTTTATTTATTTTAGCACATTTGGAATTTTGCTGATCTTTCTGGACTTGTCTCTCGTCATTACAGAACTATTTGTCAATGAAATCGACGATTATATTCCTTTGGAATATTGTGTGATTTCTTTAGTAATTGCTTTATTTTTTCTCATGGATATTCTTCTTCGAATATATGTAGAAGGGTAAGCTTGATTTTTTTTAACATAAAGCCATTTTGTGTTGTCATAAGAAACATCCCCAAATAATTAGCAGATCATTTCAATGAAGTGTTCCCCTTTTATCAAAATAATACTCTTTGAAGGCATTACTGAGAAACAGCAATCCAAACCCAGTTTTTCATAATTGGGTTTTAATAGTGTTACTGTTTCAACTAGTACTTCGTTGTTCAAAAATATATTTTAGATGGTGCTTTCAGTAAACTTTGCAGGGATTTTTAATCAGGCAATTGATGTTGTCTACAGGTACATTAGTAAGTAAGTGTGTGTGAGAGTTATAAAAATTAATCCTTTCATTGAATTGAATTCCCCAAGAAAGCTAAATCCCAAGCATTTGTTAAATATATCATAAATAAGCCCTATATCATATATCATGAATAAATATATCATGAATAAGCCCTATATTAAAAACTTCTGTGATGATGGGGATGAGGTCTGCTGCATGCCAGCCCACCAGTGAGGCTTGGTAGAGCAACAGCATTAGTTTTCTCTGCTTCCTGGTTTTCTGAGGAGGTGGGTGGGTGAGCCAAATCTTGACACTGGGTTGCTGTGGAAGTCAAGGACTAAGCTGCCCAGCCTCTTTGCTCCAGAACTTTTCAGAAGCCATTTATCCCCTTTTCTCATGGCTTTTTATCGTCCTGACTTTGACTAAGGATAATTGTGCCCTATGAGGTTACTAAGAGCTTGTAAGAGCCTCCCTCCAAATCAGAAGCTTTCTCTGGAGCTCCCATACTTGGGCCTGAAAGAGTCAGTGTCAGGAAGAAAGCAGTGCTGAGTGGAAGTCTGCCCTCACCCGGGAGGGCACCGCAGCATCCTGGGAGCCAACGTGCACAGTGTCAGCACCCTGGGAGCCAATGTGCACAGTGTCAGACTGTGAGCTCAGAGCAGTCGGCCGCTTTTCTCCAGGCAAGCTCCTGGACGTGCCTCCTAGCCCTGGGCTCTGGGCTGTGACACATTCCCAGTTCATTGTCCAGTGGTCCTGTCCAGTGTCTCACTTTCCTTTTCCCACAAGAGAAGGTAATACTTGCCTCTTGTTCAACAGTTGATTATATTCCTTACTAAGCTCTCATTGTCATAATGATGTTCTTCACACATATACATATAATGGAAATTTATTGCTTGGAAATGTTCCACTAATGTATTTTCCCTTGTTCCAGTCTAGCAATTAAAATTATCTATTAAAATAGAATTCTTAATGAATATGACTTAAGTTGTACTCTTAATATAGTCCTCTTTCCTTTTTGTGAGAATAAACATATTTCACATTTATATTCTAGGAAACAGCGCTATTTTTCTGACTTACTTAACAACTTAAATGCCATCATTACCGGGGTGATTCTGCTCGTGGACATCATTTACTTTTTTCATGGCTTGATGTTTATTAGTGGTATCCCCAGGTATGAAACATGATTTCACAAAATTTCTCTTTTCTTTCATTCATGTTTTGCAACTTCCAGATGACTTTAATTTTGTATAATCTTTTAAACTATAAGTGTTTTCATTTTGTGATAAATAAGGTATTTCAAAAAAATAAAAACAAAAATACATAAGGTGTTTCAAAACACAATGTTTAAGTAAATTTCCATTTACTTTGAAATCAAAAGATAGCGGCAGTTAGGGGATGATTGGAGACTCTAAATGTCTTTAGTTGAATGAAGAACATGGAGCACCCAAAGTAGAAATCTTGCATTAATTTCAACTTCATTGCATTCTGAAATTCCTCCTAAATTTCAGTGACTGACTCCACAATCATGATTCTCTAAAAAGTAGCAAATGGAACAGGAAGCTGAGAGATGACATGGATGGTAACACAGAGGAAGAGTTAGTTTTGCAGTATACTTGTGATGAAAATGAAGGGAAAGTTAATATTTAGGGATTAGAAAAGGAAAATTCATGTGGTGCGATCTCTCTCTCTCTCTCTCTCTCTCTCTCTCTCTCTCTCTCTCTCTCTCTCTCTCCTGTGAAAACAAGGAAAAGAACAATTCATGCACATGTGTATTTAGATGGGGGCTTGCTAGACTTATTCATTAGTCCAATAACTAGGTTCTTTATGTAATTACCTAAGCCTTCAACTTAGGACACCACTAAATGTGGTGAATAATATAGGATTTGGAGTTTAAAACTACCCTCAGTCAACTTGATCCTCTAAGGCAACTTCACCATCCTTTGAGAGATTGCTGGAAACACACACACACACACCCCTCAAGCCCTGCTGAATTTGTATCTCTGGTCCAGCAAACCTGTAGTTTAATAAACACTTCCAGAATGGCATTTGCTTCTGCCAGGTCAAATTAGAGACACACTAGTTCACACGTTAGAATGCTTCTGGTAGTGGGAACACACTAATCAGCATAACCTGGAAGTTGTCCACTTCCTGCCTGATATACATTTAGCAGTGAGTCACTGCTTCTGATAGGAGTAATACAGTGAACAGGAACTCTTAGTTGGTTTTGATTGGCAGTGAGGATGTGAAAATGCTGGTTTTAAACCACAAAAGGTAAACGTACAAGTTCTAAGAGGCTATTTGCTATTTCTTTATACCAGAAATTTCTCAACCATAGCCAGGCCAGGTAGTTTGCCATGGGAGAGGGCAGGGTATTAGTCATTGTAGGAACCCTAGCAACATTCCTGGCCTCCACCAACTGCATATGAGTTACACCCACATGTGCTCAATGGTTGGGACAGCCAAAATTGTCTTAAAACATTGCCAGATATCCCTTAGGTAGGTGGCAGGATGGAGGTGATACAAAATTGCCTCTGACTAAGAACCCCTGTTCTAAACTTAATCCAGGGCTGGAGGTACAACTCAGGAGTTCTGTGTTTAGCATTCAAGAGACCCTCAGTTTAGGGGACCAGGGAGATAGCTCAGTGGCTTAAGCACCTGCCTGGCAAGCACAAGGTCCCAAGTATGATCCCACATCCCTGGTACCACTCAGCAAGGGAGGGGGGAGACACACACACACACACACACACACAGAGAGAGAGAGAAAGAGAGAGAGAGAGACACCCTGGAGTTGGGCTCCAGCACTGGAAAGGAGGGAGAAGGAGGGAGAGGGAGGGAGGAGGAAAGTGTTAAACTTAACCCATATTGACATAATCTTATGTTTCTAAAGCAAATGGGACTCTTGAATTTATTTAGATTGCCAGTTTTTTTTCGATTTCTGCGCCTTGTCATTGTGATGAGACTTTTTCATCTGCCTTATCAAAAAAGACATCTTGAAAAGCTGACTAGAAGGCTGGTGAGTGGAAAAACACGTTTGCTTTTTGTTTCGGGAACTACTTCAAAGGTATTCCATAATATAGAGCTCTTTATTCACACGTTGATGCATGTTTTACAAATCTATGATTGTTTTAAATTCCTAGGTCTCAGAAAACAAAAGAAGATACCAGAAGGATGGATTTGACCTGGACCTCACTTATGTTACTGGTGTGTGAAACATAATTGTTGATTTACTTATTTTCGTTTCGCATTTCACTTGTAGATTATATTTTCTTTTGGTTTTGCCTTGTCTAAGCCATCTTATTTCAAAGTATCTGTAAAGACATACGCTGCTGTGGTGCTGTGACATCCTTGTAGTGTAAGTCTGGAAATGGAAAAATCTCCTATCATTTCAAATCAAAGTTATTTGGTTCCACTAAAAAAGTGGACTGGATTTTCAGGGGAACCCATTATGGTTCAATTTAGAATTTATTGAATTCTGGTCATTATTCTGGATCCTAAATATCCAAGAAGGGCTTCTTTTCCAAAAGCCACAATGAGGTCACTGCTCTGAAGGCCTAGAGATTTTGGAGTCAAAAGAGCTAGAAAATACTTTGAGAGCTCCCACCCACCACTGGTGCTGACTTCTTGTTTTTTATTTGCTGTTTAAGGTATTAAAAAGCATTTCAACTACAGGGGGAGCTCTAGACAGAGGCCCACATCAATCTGTAGTGTATGGCTAGAACCAATAGAATCTTTGAAGTACACTAGTTTAATGGTCACAACCTTGGATAATTTAATGCATTATCTTTTTTTTTTAACTTATCCTGCCTTAGGTTTATTTGTACAAAGAGCACAGGAGGACACCAGTCCCCAACAGATGGCACCCCAGGGGTCACACCAGTCCTTCTGTTTTTACATCAGCAGATAAGAGGCTTTAACTCTGGAGCCTTCATAGGGCCCTGGGAACCTTTGGGAGCCTGGACTGGAGCAGAAGCTGGAGCCTGGGTCTTGGTTGGAGCAGAAGCTGGAGCCTGACCTTTGGCCAGCAAGGCCTGAGACCCTTGGCAATGCCGGCATGAATATGCTTTCCAAGCTTGGGGTGGGCAAAGCAAGTCAAGTGAGCCTGTGGTTTACTCCCTTAGGGATGCTCTTGGACTTGATGAGGGCTTTGATCATCTCTGCACGTGCACTCATGGCCTTGGCGTTGTTTGCTTGCATCTTCTTGAAGCCCTTCTTGTTGTGCTTCTTGGCAAAAGGCATGTTCCTAAGAAACTTGGGATCTACCCCCTTCAGAGATTCATATCTTTGTAACCGAGGTTTCTTGATGCCATTTCAGTGTCATTTTCAGGACTGGTTGTGCATGGTGTGGTTCTTGGACTTAGCCATAACTGCATTGTAAACTGCAGCTACCAAGTACCTGGAACTGGGAGAACAGCTAATGTATTATCTTGAGAACTAGGTGTTTTCTATTCTGAAGCATTTTTTTTCTATGAAAAAGGAGTCTGATTATATATAGATCAAATTATTGTATATTGTTTCTCATCTATAATGATATTTATAAAAATGATAACTTTGTAAAAATAATAACTTTGACTTCTAGATCATATTATTGCCATGTCATTTCCATCTTCTGGGAGGTGGTCTCTGTATAGGAATCCAATTAAGGTAAGGATATTAAAGTTGAGGGATGCAACACACCTGTCAGCCCCGTACTCAGGAGCCTGAAGCATGGGGATCTCTGTGAGTTTGAGTCCAGCCTGGACCACATAGTGATAGACTCTGGCCTGCGCCTGAAAAAACCTTCACATAGTAAGTCCAAGCTAAGCCTGAACTACACAGTGAGACCTTGTCTCAAAGAACAACAACAAAGGTAAGAATATTCATGTAACAAATATTTATTTTTCAGTGAATATAAACTTAGAATCATAAGCTTTAAATTGACCCTGAGATGGCCAATTATTTTTTCTATAGCAATATTTTTCTATAAGCTTATTCTTCAAAGTAGAAAATCATAATGGATTGTTATCAGTTTGCTTTTGTTATTTATAAACCATCCCAAAACTTACTGGCTTTTAAACAACAACTATTTATTTAGCTCATGATACTATAGTGTTTGAATTTAGATTGACCTTAATTGGCTGTTTCTGATGATCAAGAATGAGACTGGCTTTCACGTCTCACCAAGGCATCTATGGGTAGTTACAGGGCCATCTGAAGTCTGGGCAATCTAGATGGCTCTGTACAGCATCTCTCCTGTAGTGCAGGCTGTTCGGCCTTGTTCTCATAGTGACAGTGGCAAGGGTTCTAGGAATGCAAGGCCCCTTAAGATCCAGGCTCAAAACTAGTATAACATGGTATCTAGCTCATTCTTTTCTTGTTTGTTTAGTTTTGGTGCTGGGAATCAAACTCAAGACTTTGAATGCCATTGAGCTATAGCTTATTCTGTTAGACAAAATAGATTACAAAGCTGGACTGGATTCAAGGAGAAGAAAATAAAATCCATTTCTCGATGGGAGGAAATATAAAGCATTGTGGTCATATTTTATGGCCTACCAGAGAGAAGGAAGTGTTATAACTAAAGTGTATGTTCTTAAATTGAGATTTAAACTATAGTGGAGTGACACTGCTTTAAGCTGTGTGGATAACCAATTTTAAATATACAGTGCTGTTTACTATGAAATTCCAATTCAGTCATCTTTGTTATTATCTAGGTGCATGTGTAAATTAGTGCAATTTGCAGTAGTTGTTATGCCTCAATAAAAACATAATTATGTAGCCAGCCATGGTGGCTCATGCCTACTATAATGCTAGCAGTTTAAGAGATTGAAATAGGAGGATTGCGAGATTAACTTTTGCCTGGGCCATCTAGAAAGCGCCTGTCAATTAAAAAAAAAAAAGGAAGAAAGGAAGAAGGGAAGGGAAGGGAAGGGAAGGGAAGGGAAGGGAAGGGAAGGGAAGGGAAGGGAAGGGAAGGGAAGGGAAGGGAAAGGAAGGGAAGGGAAAGGAAGGGTGAAAGGGAGGGGCTGTGAATACAGCTCAGTGTGAAGGCCCCAGGTTCAATCCCCAGTACCACCCCCCCTACACAAACAAAATGTAATTATTTAACTGCTGGTATTCATACTTATATGTAAGAGCAATCATGTGTCACTTAATGGTGGGAAACTTTCTATTGAGTGGTTTTGTCTTTGTGTAAACATCGGAGAGTGTGCTTATACAAACTAAGACAGTTACAGGGTCACAAAGCAACATAATCTTATGGGATCTTTATTGAATAAACTGTCTATCATTAATCAAAATGTCATCATGTGGGCCATGAGTATACACATATATACACATATGCAAATGCATATGTAATCACATTTTTATTGAGGAATACTATAAATGCACTAATCTTAAATGCATATCTTGATGAAATTGTGTAGAGGTATGTATGCAAGAAACAAACCTTCCTCTCCAGGTACCAAGGACTTCCTGCCCATTTCCAGTCAGTATCCTGACATATAGGAAGTAATAGCTATATTAACTTTTGGCACCATAGGTTAGTTTTTTTTTTTTTTTTTTTTTTTTTGGTTCCTCAAATGCCTTCAGGGCACTTTTGGCCAGCGGGAGAGTTGTGAGGTTCGAACTCCAGCAACCTGAGGCTGACAGCTTTGTGGAAGCAGCTACTTAAAGGACTGAGCTAGGGCCAGGCCCCCATACCTTTGAGGATTTTTTTTTTTTTTTTTTTTTTTGGTGGAACCGGGGATTGAACTCAGACCCTTGCACTTGCCAGGCAAACGCTTATCCTACTGAGCCATCTCCCTGGCCCTAGTTTTTTCTTTCTGTTGAGCTTCATATAAGAGGAATCATACAGGGCATCTTTTGGGCCTAGCTTTTTATTTGCACAATAAACTGTCAGATTCATCCAATATTTTATGCACTGATAATTCTGCTTTTGAAAAAGACCGTAAATGTTTATTGCTTTATAGAACTCCATAGAAAAAACCCAAGTATTTACACAAGCTGTTCAATTATACATCATTTCACAAAGTCAGTGAACTCATTATGTTCTATAAAACCCACTTTCTAGAAATTTAAAAATTGTAGGTATCAAATAGTAACAGCTGAACAGGTACAATTTGGAAACTGTTAGTTTTCACAGGGGAGTGGCAGCTTACATGAACTTAGAAACAGTCCAGTTTAGAGCAATTGTTGTCTTTTGCATTGATCCACATATTTGTGCAATGATATTTAATTCACATCACAAAATTGCCAAAATATATCTTCATGGGTAAAGCACCCCTTGCTTGCAGTGTAATATTATTTTTCAGTAAGTTAAACTGATAATTGTGTGTTTAATTCAGTTTAGTTTAGCTTAATTCAATTCAATTTAGTTCAGTCCAGCTTAGCTTAGTTTAGTTTAGCTTAGTTTTGAGACAGTGTCTTGCTAAGTTTCCTAGCCTGGCTCAAATTTAGGATCCTCCTGCCTCAACCTCCTAACTAGCTGGGATAGTAGGTATATGCCACAATGCAACCTCAGGGTAATATTCTGAACAACATTGAATATGCAAAACAGAGGATAAAATTTCATAGGCAGGAAATTTACTAGCAAAAAAACCTTTTAAGTGCCTGGCAAACCTTGTACAGATATGGAGTCAACAGAGTTAGTCCTGAAAGAAGTAGAATGGTGGAGGCATCATTTGGCCACTACTGCCATCCCATACAAATAAAGCACCTTTACCTCTAAATCCAGAAATGTGCAACTGTACACAGAGAGAAGTGTTTGGCAGACTTAAGAAAAGTGAAAGGTAGGGGATCATTACAAGAGATCTTTCAAAGAGTAGAGAGTGTTTCCCACTGTTACATCCCAAGGAAGATTTTCAGGGATTGGAAGTGCAGGAAGCTGAGCTGTGGAGAGAAAGCACATACTCTTTACACAGTCCTAACATATTCCAGTCATCTTCCAATTTTTGACCTTAGACCAATTGACACTCTTCCTTTTGACTGAGGACAGAAATTTTCCATCTGGTGACAGACTGATCATTGTAGTTTCTTGATAAGAGTTGAATTTTTCTCTAGATGCTTTTTGTCCCTTTTCAGTTAATTTGGTTAGAAGATGTTTTGGAGATTTCAGGTAAAGTACTTAGATTAGAAAACACAGGATGGATTCATGCAGAAAAATCAAAACTTTAACTTCATTTTCAAACATTAAGATAAATATAAAGATTCCAAAAAATCCCTCAAACTTAACCAACCTGGTATATTAATTTTTCTATGAAGAAGATGTATTGACTGAGCTCATGTAAAGGGATGCCAAAAAAGCTGCATGTGAATTTACCCGTGCAAAACATTCACTTGTTGAGAGAACAAAGGTCAGGGCAGCATTCTAAGGTTGCCTGCGTCATTTGTGTTATAATTCGCCTCTGGCGTGCAACATTTAGGTGTCAGTATTGTCAACCAAGCCAATGACAAACATCTTTGAGCATCAGGCATTTTTTGGATAGAATCCTGGGTGTGAAATTACCTAGCTAAAAAGTATAACTATGTAAGTGTCCTTAATACATATTGCTAAACCCTGACGACTGTGTCAGCAATAAATGAAAGCTTTTATTTCATGCTGTATTTGACAGAATTTTCTCAAGTAAGATGAAACGGCCAATCTCATGACTGTAAATGGCATTTTGTTGTTGTTTTGATTTCTTTGCTGGCAAAGCTGAATATTTATCTACATAGATGGATACTCAGTTGGATTTTCTTCTGTGGGTTATTTATGTCCTTGGCCCATTTATCTGTAGGCTGAAAGAGTATTAGTTAAGTAACAACTTAATCTAATGAGTTATTAATTTATTGAAATTGGTCATCTCCATTCAGTCAATTTTACTGAAAAATGTTTTCTCAGGACCTGGTACTTGCCAGGCAGGTGCTTATGCCACTGAGCTATCGCCCTGGCCCTGTGGCATTTTTAAAAGAAAAATTTCAAATCTGTATGTCAGACCTAAACCTATCACTCTTCTATGGACTCATCACCTAATTATTCCTTACCCAACAAATTAATATTTTACATTTCTTGGCTGTATTTGCGGGTTTTTATATTCGACTTCCCAATCCATCTGGATTTAGTGCACGACTTCCCATGGGTGTTTGCAGACTGTGTAGACCATCCCACTTCCCTCCCATCCGGCCAGATTCAGAGTGTTGATCTTTCCTAACTTCTTATTTCCTCAGTTATAAGGATAACCAGTGTATGTACTGACCACTTAGCTACCTTTTCTTCTGAATAGCTAGCCAATAAACACGTTCTGATGGTAATACACCAATCAGATCTTAAATATTATGGTAGTCATTCTTCTTACTGCGCAGATACATGTGTGTGTTTCAGGTGGATAACTTTGCTAGAAACATTGCTGGATTTATGTGGCAGTACTAACTGTATTAACTATTTAACTGCATTAACTGTTTAAATAATAACATGTTACAGGGGGCATGGTGGCACATGCCTATAATCCCAGCACTCAGAAGGCTGAGGCAGGAGGACCTCCATGAGCTCAAGGCCAGCCTGGGCTACAATGTGAGATCCTGTCTCAAAACAAAACAAAATAATGTTTTTGATTTTGAATTTTTTCATATATATGTATATATTCATTTATAAGCATAAAAATACAGATGTGTCAAAAGTTTCATATTGAAATCACATCTAAAATCTGATATAATTTATCTTTTTATATCATACATATTATGCATAATTATTTTATACATTTATTTATTTGTATAATACTTAGGTAGACTATAATATTCATAATTGTGTAAGTCATTTATTCAGAACTATATTCAAATATCAACTATGCATTACACCTGTGAATTAATGATCTGGAAGCAATTTAATTAATTAACCAACTAATTATCTTCTTTGGTAGCTTTAAAAAATGCGTATTTATAGTTTAGCTAGTCTGTGTAGCAAAACTCACTTTGTGGGCTATTTGAAAACTATCAGTTAATTACATGTCGTTTGGAATGCACGTAACCTCATTCATATTGCCTCAATCCCTCCGAGAAGGTGGCAGTGAAAGACGAGTAAAAAAAGCTTTATTTTAGGTTACTCTTAGTAAGTCTGACATCACCCCTGAGCTCCACTGGGTTCGTAACACACGTCTGTCTTTCCTAGGAAGTCGCGCGGCTCCTGGATACCAAGCATCCGGACCATTATCAAGTCTATAATCTGTGCAGTATGTACCTAGCTCAGTGTTTTCCTACAATAGGTAGAAAACAGATTCTTACAGTAACATGATGGTTCTGTTTCTATATTTTATTTAATCATAAGTATTTAGAAGTAAGGAGTTAGATCAAAAACCCCACGTCTTCTGCTGGCTCTGTTTGGAAGAAAGTTACCTCACTTCCACAAAGCTGCCTGTGAGAGGGACAGGAATGGCGGGAGGGAGTGGAAGTGAGCCACTTGATAAGACCTGCTCTAATGGTAGGGAAATATTTCTGGTTTCCACGCAAGACTGTGTCGTCACAGACAACTCCCTGAAGCGGCCTCCAGCCTGACAGGAGTGGGTTGGGATAAGAGTGAGCACTTGTTGCAAAAAGCCCCAAGGGCAACAACAAGCCCTGTTGAAAAGATTTTACCCCATTTTATCACACTTGTCTCTCAATATTTTACCTTCTGCCCGCATATGAAATAGATGTTTTCAGTGGACAAGCATTTGGGCCGGCTGCATTTGCCTCTGCTCCTTGGTTTCTAACTGTCCTATATTGACGCAATGAGTGACCTGCTTGAAAGGCGAAGTGATGCCTGTTGGTCAGCGTGGAGTTCAGGTGACCTGATGGAGACAAACCACTGCTAGCCTCGTGCTTCTGACACTCTTATGATTGTTTTAGAGCAGATTTTGACTCAGAAAGCTCCTTTTGATGATGGTTAAGGAATGTATTCATAATAGGAATTTTAACTCATTTATAACTTCATCACTTGCTGTGTTTTTAGGCACAGAGCTGTAACATACGTATTATTTCTTTAAGGTGAAAGAGCTTACGATCCTAAGTACTTTCATTATAGGGTCCGTCGAATCAAAATCGATGATCACAACGTCCCCACTCTGAAGTAAGTGTCACACTACCTTTATTATCAGAAAAGGGCTAAGTACTTGGGGCTTGATTTTTGGGAAATATTTACATTCAACTAAAAACTCTTGTGTTTGAAATCAGGGAGATGTTGTTGTTCTCCAAGGAAGTAGAGGAATGGCTGGCTCAGGATAAGGAGAATGTGGTTGCGATTCACTGTAAGGGAGGCAAAGGTAAGAATGTTCTCATTTTTACTTTTTTTTCATGTCTACAAATAAAGTTTTATTGGAGCATAACATATGAAAAGTTCTGAGACATCCTGCAGGAAAGAGACCTATTTAAATTTTATCACTGGCATATTGTTTTGGGTTTTTTTCCCATAATTTTATTGATAAACAAATAGCAATGAGACAGTTTCAAATCAAATTGGTAGGACAGTTTCAATAATTAACACATTGCATACATTCTTCCTACTGGTTAATTGCTGTACAAGATGAGGACATGATATCCTAACACCATTAGAACAAATCATTCTATTCATTAAGAGAATGTAACTATATATCTATCCTAACCACTTTGAATACACAGATACAAAATGGACATTCATCTGTATGCCCTTTTTTGGTTAAGTTCCATTATTTGAATATTATAGGTGTGAAAACTCAGCAAAATATTCTAAAAGAGTCCAGTAGCCCATAATAGTATTGGGTCTTCTGCTTCACTGGCAATGTCAGAAATTGTTGACCTGAGTCCCCTACAGCTCAACATAACACCATGGCTTTACTTCCTATATTTCATTTTTATACTTTTCTGCTGGATGGTTAAGACCAAGGTAAAGCAGGACCTATGCAACAAGAGTTGTAGCTTTTGGGTCTGATAAGGTCAGTGAAATCCCCTCAGGATTTATCCTGAGATCCTGTACCTCAGATTGTAGAACTTTTGTCAGTGTCAGCCATGTAGATGAGTCACGGCCATTGTTTGGCCAATGTGCTCTCTGTGAAAGCTTGAGAGAATGTTTTCTCTCCATGTGACTCTCCTTAGGCACACTCTACATCATCGATCACTTTCCTCTTTGGCCCCATAATCTCCTTGATCAGAAAATTTGGGACACTACCAAGTTACATGACGTTACAGTACAAGTTCTCATATGTCCTAAGTCTTAATTGACCTTAGAAGGCTAGGGCCAAAATGTTGGCTTTCCTTGTAGCCCTCCTTTTTCTCTAATTTTGGTCTGCAAACTTAGGTTGTTAACCATCCAGAAGACAAGCTTATTGTTATTACCATACAACTTAGGCTGTTAAGCTTAACCTCACTATCTGACTGCATATCAAACATCTTAGGCATAATATTGAACAGGTATTTTTCATCAAGTATTGATATATTGAACTTTAAGTCCCTACAGAATATAATAAAAAACATTTAAAAATTAGAATATTTTTAAAAATAGGCATAAAGAATTATATACTTCTTATGTTTGCACACAAGTCCAAAAATCTCACCATATATAACCTTGAAGCAGGACAGTCCCATAATATTCCTTTTCCTCTCTTTTGCTTCATTTTTACTTTTTAAAAGAAATTTAAAAATATATATATAGCTGTCTGAGGAGGTAGCTCAGTGGTAGAGCACATGCCCCATAGATGTGAATCCCTGGATTCAATCCCCAGTACTGCAAGGGAAAAAGAAAGAAAGAAATTGACACGACATATTGAAGCACAAGAACAAGATACATAGTCTGTTAATCAGTATTAATAATTGTTAACATTTTTAAATATTGGCTTCAAGATTGAAAGAAGGAGCCTGGGGAGATAGCTCAGTAGAATAAGTGCTTGCCTGGCAAGCACAAGGGCCTGAGTTCAATCCGTGGTTCTGAACAAAAAATAAATAATTGTTTAGTACAGGGTCTACAGGGTCTCATGACACAGATCGGATTTGTAGTGATCCTCCTGTTTTTCAGCCTCCCAAGCACTGGGATTAGAGGCATGCACCACCATGCCTGGACTACATCCACTCAGTGCGCCCTGGTGGTGGGACTGGTGTGGCATGCAGTGCCAGGGATCGAACCCTGGCCCCTGTGCTTGCCTAAAGAAGTGCTCAGGCAACCTATCTCACCTGGTCTCACCATGCCTGAGGTGGTGTCCAATACAGCACACCTAGGGTTCTGGGGATCAGACCCAGGCCCTTATGCTTACCAGGCAGGTGCTTAGACTGCCCAGCTATCTCCCCAGCCCAATTTTTTGTATTCTTGATGATAGCTATTCTGACTGAGATATGATGGAATCTTAAATGCTTTGCTCGCATTTCCTTAATGGCAAACGTTGTTGAATATTTTTAAATATACTTGTTGGGTCATTTGTACTTCTTCTTTTGAGAAAAGCAGTTCATTTGCTCATTTATTGATTAGGCTATTAGGTTTTTTGTGTTAAAGTTTTTGAGTTCTTTATATATTCTAGATATTAATCCTCTGTCAGAAGAGAAGCTAGTAAGGATTTTTCTCCCGTTCTACAGGCTGTCTCCTCACCTTCTTTCTTAGCTGTCTCCTTGCTGTGCATAAATTTTAATTTCACATAATCTCATTTGTTGATTCCTCCTAATATTTTCTATCTTTTAGAGTCCCAGGCAGATTCTGTGCCACTGAACTATATTTCCCAGCCTACAGAGTCCTATACGGGAAGGTTTTAGTTCTTATACTGGGATCTCTGATCCATTTTAATTGAATTTTGTACAGGGTGAGAGATTGGATCTAGTTTCAGTTTTCTAGGAGAACTCATTTTCTCAGCCCATTTGTTAAAAAGAGCATCTTTCACCAACATATGTTTGTGAATCCTTGTCCAGTATCAGATGATATAGTTGGGTGAGTTTGTTTCTATCCTTCATTTTGATACAATTGCCTACATGTTTTGAGCCAGTACTGAGCTATCTTGGTGACTGGTTTTATAGTACAAAGTGAAGCTAGGTATTTTGATACCTCCAGCATTGCTTTTTTGCTTAGAATTCACTTTGTTATTCTGAGTGTTTTGTGTTTCCATTATGAATTTTAGAATTGTACTTCTAGTTCAGTGAATAATGTCATTAGTATTTTGATGATAATCTCATTAAATCCGTAGGTTACTTTTGGTAACATGGCCATTTTGACAATATTGACTCTACCAGTCCATGAACATCAGACATCTTTCCATCTTTTAAATGTTCTTCAATTTCTTTCTTCAGTGTTCTGTAGTTTTCATTGCAGAAGTCCTTTACTTTCTAGATTAGATAGATGCCTAGGTATTTTATTTGAAGCTATTGAGTATATTGTTTTCTTTATATCTTCTCAGCTAGTCTATTTTAGGTATATAGTAAAGCTATTAATTTTTTAGTGTTGATTATATATCCTGCTACATTCCTAAGTTTATTAGGTAAAAGTCTTTTGATAGAGTTTTTAGATTTCCTAAAGATAAATACTATCTGTAAACAGAGATTTTGACTTTTCTTTCCCATACATTTTTTAATTGTTACTCTTGCCTAGTTGTTTTAGTTAAAATTTGAAGAACCATGTTGAATAAGAGTGATGCCAGTGTACTTCATTGCTTCATTCCTGATTTGAGAAGATATGCTTTGTTTTTCCACACTCAGAATGATGTTGGCTGTGGGTTTGTCATATATGGTCTTTACTATATTGAAGAATGATCCTTAAATATCTAATATTTTTAGGGCTTTTACCATAAAAGGATATCCAATTTTTTCCAAAAACTTTTTCTGAGTCAACCAAGAAGATTTAGTTGATGTATTACATTTATTGATTTGTGGAGACTGACTAGTTATTCTTCTGAATGTGTATGACATAGGTTGCCTCTGCCTAGCATGTGTACCTTGAACCATCCTTGCATCCCTGGAGTGAAACTACCTTGATCATGGTGTATGATGTTTTTAATGTGTTGTTGAGTTTGGTTTGTGTTTAACTTAGGATTTTTGTATTTATGATTTAAACATATAGGTTTATAGTTTTCTTTTGGTGTTGTGTCCTTTTCTGGTTTTGCTATCAGGGTGATGTTGGTTTTATAGAATTGGTTTGAAAGTGCTCCTTCCCTCTGTATCTCAGTATTTTGTGGAACATTGGTGTTAGTTCTTTGGTAAATTTAGTAAATCTAGATTGAAAGGTTGGTAAATTTCAGCTGTGAATTTAGCTGGTCCTAGGTTTTCATTGTTGGTAGTCTTTTTTTCTTTTTAAAAATATATTTGGGACAGGGTCTACAGGGTCTCACTACATAGAGTGGACTCATAGTGATTCTCTTGTTTTCAGCCTCCCAAGCACTGGGATTACAGGCGCACACCACCATGCCCAATCTCAATCAATGACTCAGCATGCCCCAGGGACAGGGCCAGCATGGCAGGTTAGGAATCTATCCCCAGCCACTGTGCGCTGCCTGAGCAGATGCTTTAATCCACTGAGCTATCAGGCCAGCCCAGTAGTCCTTTTTAAATTAATGCTTCATCCTTACTGTTTGTAATTGATCTGTTGAGTTTTTTAAAATTTAATTTAATTTTTTATTTTGACATCAGTTATTTTTATTTTAAAGAAAAAAAA